CAGACGTGCCCCTGTGCCCGTGACTCACGGCCTCTCCACATTGCTTCACTCCAGCCTCCACCTGTGCCACCCTCCTCCACTCCTAAAAACCCTGGTGAGTCCCTTCAACCCATCTGGGTCATCCCACCATGACCTTCTGTCTTAAGATCCTGACCTTAAGTCCATCTGCAAAATCCTTTCTATCCTGTAGGGTGACATATTCACAGGCTTTAAGGATTAGGACTTAGACATCTGTAGGGATCCTTATTGTGCCCACCCACTCTCCGCCTGCAGGGCGGTGTAGACGCTTCCACTAACATCTCTCGGGCACCCACTCACCACCTCCTTAGCAGCCACCCTGGTGGGTGCCTCAGTCCCACCCATGGGTGAGCCGCAGTGTTCAGAGTTGAGGCCAATGCCCAGGACCCCCCTCCGCTCAGAGCTGAGACCAAATCTGGGTTTTCCTGGTTCCAGAGCACTGGCTGGTGACCGCGTGCCTCATGCTCACTGGGGCAACGTGGGGTCGTGAACCATCAGCCAGCTCCAGAGGGGACCTGCGGGCCAGTGGCAGAGGCCTTGCTTCTAGGCCAGTCCCACTTATCAGGGTCTCCCTAGCGTGTCCCCGGCTCCCTGCTCTGCCCCAGGCTCTCCCCACCTGGAGGACACCCACCCGATGCTCGGGCCCTACTGGGAAATCGCCTTCGACCCTCCTCTTTCTCTCGCCCTCCTAGCCACCCTCTCAGCCTGACGCCTCCAACCTGCCTCCTACACAGGTCCCAGAGCTGTGCCCTCTCCCGGTCCCCCCACACCAGCAGCCAGGACAGCATCTTCTGCTGACCACCTTGGAGGCCTCTCCTCTGTCCACCCTGCTAAGTGGGCTCTGGGCACATTTCTAGAATGGCATCTCATCAGGTTCAAAATGCTCCAGCCCTCCAGGTGCAATGGGGCCTGCCTGTAATCCCAAGCGCTCCGGAGGCCGAGACCGGAGGATCGAAAGTTCAAGGCCAGCCTCAGCCATTTAGTGAGGCCCTAAGCAACTTAGGGAGACCCTGTCTCAAAATTAAAAATAAACAGAGCTGGGCTGGGGATGTGGCTCAAACGGTAGCACGCTCACCTGGCATGCGTGCGGCCCGGGTTCGATCCTCAGCACCACATACCAACAAAGATGTTGTGTCTGCCGAGAACTAAAAAATAAATATTAAAAATTCTCTCTCTCTCTCTCCTCTCTCACTCTCACTCTCTCTTTAAAAAAATAAATAAATAAATAAACAGAGCTGGGGATGTGGCTGCATGGTTGAGCACCCCCTGGGTTCCATCCCTGGTACAAAAACAAATAAGCAAAAACCTCCTGACTGCACTCCTTCGCTCTGCCTCCTCTGGCTCCTGCTTGACCTCTCTGATCGCTCTGCCTCCTTGATGCTTTGAGTCCACTCTGGTCACACTGGCCTCCTCCTCATGCCTCCACCACAGCGGTCCCACCCCAGGGTATTGCGTTTGCTCTTCCCGCTGCCTGGAATGCTGTTCCTCAGGTAGGAGCCAGCAGACATCATGGCCCGTGGAACCCCGGAGCTGCGGGAGGTGTGTCTGCGTCTCCATCCCCATTTGACAGACAGGGCAACTGAGGCACCAGTGAACAGCCCGAGCAGCCGAGCTCCGAACCCAGGCAGTTCGTCTAAACTGCTCCCACCGCTGGCTTCCCAGATGCATCTCTGTGTCACTGTCCCCTCTCAGAGCCCTCGAGGACCCCTTCCCTGTCTTGTCACCTGCATTACTGTCTTCCCAGCCCTTACCCCGCAGCGATCCCTTCTTGGCTCCACCTGTCCCAGTAACCCAGGGACCGTGTCTGTCTTGGCTGGGCCTCGTCCCCAGGGTCTAGGACGGGGCCAGATGTGGAGTGTAGGTAAGTGACTCCCCACCAAGGCTCCTGGCAGCTGCCCACTGCCCCGGCGTGGACCCTCTCCCGAGGCCGAGGCTCAAGCTGCCCTCGTGGCGCCTCCAGCCTGCACACCCTGGCCTCGCCCGCCCGCCTGCCCGCGTGAGCTCCCTGTTGGAGCGCCACTCTGGCCCGGGCCGTGCTCACTGCCCTGTGCCCTTCTCTGCAGGAGGACCCGGACAGCGTGCCCCCCATCGACGTCCTCTGGATCAAAGGGGCCCAGGGCGGCAACTACTTCTACTCCTTCGGGGGCTGCCACCGCTACGCGGCCTACCAGCAGCTGCAGCGCGAGACCATCCCTGCCAAGCTGGTCCAGTCCACCCTCTCGGACCTGCGGGTGTACCTGGGGGCCTCCACTCCCGACCTGCAGTAGCAGCCTCCTCCCACCCCAGGAGCCCAGAATTCCATCGGGCCCAGCAGGCGGGGCCACGCAGAGGGCGCAGCAGGGATGTGTGTGGCTTCTTTGTGCCTTGGGGGACCGTCTGACTCGGGCTCTGCCTTCGCTGAGGGCCAGGCCTTGGACTCAGGCAGGACAGGGTGGGAGCCCCAGTTGTCACCTCTGAAAGTGTGATCGTGGCCTTATCCCCCAAGGACTGTTGAAGATGAAAGGAGAAAAGAGATGGACTTGGAGAGCTTCGAGCTGCTGGGCTCCAGAGTCCCAAGGACCAGGCCCTTCTCACACTCTTCATGACACCTTGCTCTCTGATTACGTTCGGCTGCAAGTAAAGGAAAGCCCAGGTTCCCGTTAACAAGGAGAAGTTTATTTTTCCACACAGCACGAATTCTGGAGACAAAGGGCCCAAATGGTGTCACTTCAACAGCGCAGTGAAAGCAGGGCTGATGTCTCTGTGATCCTTTTGCCCTGTCCTCCTTGTTTGCTACTTCATGGTCACAAGATGGCTGCTGTGTCTCCAGGAATCGTGTCTGTCTTTAAGGGAGAGGTGCTGCTAAAGAGGAAGGGACAGGTCACCTGGGTTGTCAACTCCTACCAGAAAGTAAAACCTCTTCCAGAGGCTTGGGTCCCGCCTGCCCTCTCCCCTGCATCTATCTGCTTAGGTCTCCTGGGCCGGCCGTATGTAACTGCAAAGAAAGGTAAGGCAGCAGGGGACAGAACTGTCATGGTTGAGCACACCAGT